AACATAAAGGGGAAAAAACTGTGTGTAATAGGTATCCCCCTCTTCATACACTTTAACGAGTTTCAAATGCAAATGGAAATAGCGGCAAGTTTGTCTCGCATCCTGCTCAGCTTATCCCTGTTTACACACAACTGGGCTGTGGACGGACTGCCAATCATGTGCACACATTGAGGGGAAAGAAATGTGTCTGCGGGGGATACATAACATAGTTCTTTGGTAATCCCACCCTGGGGGAATACATAGAGAGTACAAAGCAGACGTTACAGAGGGACCTACGTGCAATACTACAAGAGAATTGCCCTTGAAATGGTAATTTTTCCAACCTGTGTGACCTTTGCGAGATGTAGGAAGTATCAAAATGTTCGAAGGTGTTACACCCCATTGTGACTAGCGAAAAAAGTTGTCGCTTTAACTGAGTAAAGAGAGAAAAAAAAAAAAAAAGAAAAGAAAAAGGGGGACCAAAGAAAAAGAGTCAAAAAGAAGAAAAAATTGCACAATTATAATAACGCCGCACCCTTTCTGCAAAACCACAAAATGTGAGCAAAAATTTGGGCAAAGATATATGGTGATAAGAGGAGAAAAAATCTCCGAAAAGGGGAGGGACCCCTCAGAACGACTCGAGATGGCGAACAAATGTACAGGTCCCTTTCGTCATAGAGTTCCAAATATCACATTTGAACGAAGCTTACACTACACGGGAGCTTACACAGATAAAGCACCTGTATTTGATCGTAAGGAGCGGCCCGTGCATAAGTGACAGAGGATGCGTTCCTCCTTCCTTCATGCCTATCTCATTTTGTGCTAATTGAGAGAAAAAAAAAAACCATTTAAAGTAAGTCGAATCAAAGGGGGTATATCCAGGTGAGCCCCAAATTGCAATTCCGCATTTGGTGCCAAACTGATGATGAAGTAAATTTCTTTTTTTTTTCTCTCTCCTCGTGGGTCACCATCTGGAAACACAGTAAAAATAAGTAACCGATTTGATGGCTCAGTTACGTATGTACGTACATATATGTAGCCTTTCTTTTTCCTTTTTTTTCTTTTTCTTATGGGAACAGATTGCTCAATTCTGTGCACGCGCTGACTAATAGAGAAGTGTTAAGTGGGCCAAATTTTTACACCCCTGGGGGGAGGTACCAACTGCTTGTGTAATTGAGTGTGCTGCTGGTTGGGAAACCTTCCTTCCAGGACACACACGTGCACATACATAAGCATCTGTGTACGCTCACGTACTGATCCATTTGGAAAAAGAGAAACTCACGAGTAGGGAGGCGCATTATTGCAACGGCAGAGATTTTCACCTCACCTTGGGCACACACCCATAGGGACTAACAGACGGGATTAGTAGAAACGGATCAGTACCTCTGCCTCTACGAATGTGCGTAATAGATGGATACATATATATATGTGCACATATGAAAGATTAGTTCTAGCGCAGCGATCACAATAGGACAGCTTGTGGGGTAGCGGCGTGTAACTCATTTGTGCGGAACACAAACGAGGGAGTGCATGATATGGGCATAAGGTTGGCAGCTACCATACGATGGCATAACCCTTGTCGAGGTATCGTGCGCGCCGAGAGTTGCATCTTTTCCGCCCCGTCGCTCACCAGCTTAATCGCTCACCAGCTTAACCGCTAAGGAGCTTAATGGCTAATTAGCTTAATGGCTAAGTAGCTTAACGGCTAACCACCTTAACGAAACTTCCTCACCGTGATGCAGCTCGGCCGCGCGCCCCTTCTGCTTTCTCTCCCCCTGTTCCGCACATGCACATGAAAGGAAACGGCAAAATCGCATTCTGTGCTCTGTTACTATTTACCATCTTTAACATCCAAGCAAGAAGAAGCAGCCGACTTTTGGAGGGCACCACCTTAAGGAGCGCGGAAAACAACTGGAATAGAAGAGACATGAATCCCAATCATCCCTGTGCATGCAACTGTAAATTGAAAGCACGGAATGGATCTTTTAAGTTCATTAATTTCGGGGAAAGTAGGAAGACAAATTATATGAAGAATGTGGGGCACCCATCCACAATGCATCTTCCTGCGCGTTTTTCAAGACACATGCCGAATAAAGATTCTCACAAAAGTGGATTCCCCTCGTTACAAAAGAGAAGCGGACTTACACTCAGTCTATCCATGCGGGGTGCTATGAGGTGTTCCTTTCTTTTTAACAGACCTGATGTGTTCCGCTGGAATTATGAGCGAAGGCTGAACAGTGCCCAGAAGAATTGCACATCGGAAGGTGGAAACTTTGTGGCACCCCAAAAGGTGGAGTCATTGCCGCCCCATCCTGTCAGGTACAAATATGCCCCCCCTTGGGGCCAAGCGAGCACAGGAACGGAGTACACCGGATGGGGGAATATTACAACACGTGACTTCTCTCTGTCTGCACTGCCACGGGGCGGCGCCGCGCTTGTATCTTCCCCGACAGTGGACCCCACCTCTACAATTGCTTCCATCTCGGAAGTTCCCCACGTGGGAGGAAATTTATACACACCCAGCGTGGTGGACCAGCGGGGCACAGACGATACAAGTGACCCCCCCCGCAGTGCAACCTACGGGTCACCCCTCAGAACAACTGAGGGTTGTAGTTGGGTTGAGGCTCCAGCGGATGTTTGCAACAGAAGTGGAGCCAAAATTGGAAAGAGAAGCGGTGCCCAATCTGTTACCGAATCTGCTACCCAGCCCTCCGAAGGAGGAAGAAAGAGAAAACCGGTTCTGTCCGAGGAGGCCAAACGAAACATGCGAGAAAAACTTGCAGCCATTATGCGGAGCAAATGGAGGGACCCAGAATTCCGCAAAAAGATGATGAGGTCTTTTAAGAAGAGGGGCCTTGAACACAACAAGAAAATATCGGAGGCTGTCAAAAACAAATGGAAAAATGACATGAATTATAAACAGAAAACGCTGGATGGCCAACGGAGGTACTTCATCAGACGATATAAAAATAAGGAGATACTTCCCATTTCAGATAAAACGAGGGAGAAAATATCGAAAGCTATGAAGCAATACTGGGCGAACAGAAATAAATTCGCAAAAACGAAAATTAACAATTTGCAGCACGTCCAGAAGCGGAAGAAAAAGCACAAGAAGGTTTGGGAAGATATTTACTCTCTTATATTAAATCAGAAGGTTGGAGACTTCGGCGGATATCAGTCGTCTCTGCACCACAACTTGTCGATTAATTTGCAGGCCGCGCTTAGCTGACCCTACTTAAGGGGTGGCTAACAAAATGGCGTCATATAAAATCGGTGAGGTATAACAAAAGTTCCACAGCCCCTCTTCTATTTCATGAGTCCCGACTTGTATACCACTGTGCCTGCCTGACGCCCCTTTTTTTCCCTATTCTTTGGCCTTCTTTTTTTTAGCCTCTTATTTTAGCCTCTTTTTGAGACTTTCTTTTGACTCTTCTTTTGACACTATCTTTTGACACTTTTTTTTGACACTTTTTTGTGACACTTTTTTTTCGCCCTTTTCAACAAGTGACTCCCTTGTCCTAACCTCTTCGCACATCCCTAATTTAGAAAAATTGTACCCCTCACCTGACAGAAGGGAAAAAAAAAAAAAAAAAAATCACACAACGCAGTAAAGCTCAGCACGGAGCTACACCAATGCGCGCGCAAAAGCGGAGACCCATAGAAGGCCCCAACAATATGACTCATTTTTCCACCCCCTCTGTGTAAATGCGAAAATGGTTCGGCTTCATAATGGGGTTGCTTCCTCGTAGCACCATCTCTAGTTTAGTATCCTCCTCGGCTGCTCCGTGAAAATTTGACATACTGCCACGATCACAGCGTTATCTCTATTCTTACCCGTGTAAAGGTCATCTTTGCGCCCTTTTGGAGTGACTCCCTCGAGGGTTTCAAACCACGCACACATTTGTGCATTTCCGCATAGGGGCGTATTGGCCCGCCACTCCTGAGAGAGAACCGAAAGAGATAGCGCTCTCCCATTGATATGCAACCAGACGAACTGCTCATGCCACTGATTCTAACTGCAATTTAATGATTCATGCCTGGGCAATCAGAAGGGCGCTGTGCATTTTTATCCTCATCAATTGTGTCCTAAAATTAGAACATTCGCATAAAATTAGGTGGAAATCGAAAAAGGCAGTTCACCTCCCAGTAGACGGCGCAAATGGCTACAAACGGGAGTGGAGACGCAAAGGGGTGTTCTTTAATATTCATAGGGATAACAGAGGGAAAGACGCCAGGGGGAGGAATGGCACAAGGGGAACGAACGACACCAGGGGAAACGGGGGCCCGAACGGATTGGCCACTGGTGGGAGACCGCTCTTTCGCTGCGATAAATTTATTCCACTGTTTCTGTTGCGGGATTGTCAGGGAAGAAGTTTAAACAGAAAGAAATATAACTCAACACTCAGGCGATGTAACAGCCGTTTAGAAGTTTTTCCCAGGAGAGAGAATAGCTTACCGCCCGAGCGGTGGAATGGTGAGGCGATCGGTACAGCAGGGCAGTCGGAGGATGATGGCCTTGATGGAGGGCCCTCCCCTGGGGGGGAAGCGAACAAGACTAAGAGGAGGACCATCAGTAGCGATCGCAGCGGATGTAGCGGTGTGGGAGGAGCCCCAGAATACCCCCAAGAGAACGTACGCAATTTTTGCATCCTGGCGCACATCGACAGCGGGAAATCAACTCTGGCTGACCGATTCCTAGAGTTAACAAAAACGATAAAAAAGAAAAAGATGCAGGATCAGTTTCTCGACATGATGTCGTTGGAGAGAGAGAAGGGAATCACCATTAAGTTGAAGGCAGTGCGAATGAATTACCAGAATTACATTTTCAATTTAATCGATACACCAGGACACTTTGATTTTTATCATGAAGTAAAAAGATCGCTAAGTGTATGCGAAGGAGCCATACTACTGATTGATGGGAGCAAAGGGATTCAATCCCAGACACTTAATATCTTTCTAGAGTTGCAAAAACATAATTTAAAAATAATTCCAGTGATAAATAAAATCGACCTGAACACATGCAGGTTGGACAAGATAGAAAGTGATCTGTTAAACAAGTTTCGTTTTGTGAAGGAAGACATTTTACACATCTCTGCGAAATATGCACATGGAATAGGATCTCTGTTTCAGAGAATTGTGTCGGACATCCCTTGTCCTGCCATAAAATCGAATGCCTTCTTTAGGGCCATCGTTTTTGACTCCTTCTATGACCAGTACAAGGGGGTAATATTAATCATTAAAGTGCTAAATGGGGTCCTGACAAAAAAAACAGAAGTCTTCTTCATTCAGAGCGAAAAGACATCCATCATTCAGGAGGTTGGATACCTCACCCCGGAGATGAAACCCACCGACAGTATACAGCAGGGGGACATTGCCTACGTGTCATGTAACATGAGAAAGTGCGACGAGGTGCAGATCAGTGAGACGATAGTCAGCAGAGATATCGTCCATCTGAATGCGGAGCGGCGGCTCGTGGTGGATCCGGACCGACTCGGCGAGGAGCGCAGCGGTGAAGACCATACCCGTAGGGTAAATCATTGCGGTGTGGATTCCTTCCGAGGTGTCGCCCCACCGAGGGAGGCGCGCACCGAGAGAGAAATCAACCTGGAGCAGATCGCCGCGTCTAAGGTGGACGTCTCGTACCCCGTTGTGTTCTGCAACATTTACAGCGTGAATGATAAACAGGCCAACGGACTGGAGGTGGCACTGAACAAATTGAAGCTAAACGATGCATCTTTTTCCTTCAAGCCTGACGTTTGTGAGACCTTGGGGAAAGGGTTCAAGTGCGGGTTCAACGGATTGTTGCACCTTAATATAATCCAGGAGCGGATAAGACGGGAGTATGGCGTGGAGACGATTGTGACTGCCCCGTCGGTGAATTATCTCGTGAGGGTCAAGGAGAAAGGCATTGACAAGCAGCTGAAGGAGAAGCTGATTGATGCTAGTTTCGACATAGCGAATGTTAACGTGGAGGTGCAGGGGGGAGATAGCGGTGATGGTAGTGCCGATGGCAGTGGTGATGGCAGTGATGATCGCAGCGATGATGGAAGCGATGATGGAAGCGATGATCGAAGCAGAAAGACCCACCCCGACGGACTCTTCTACATGACGAGCAACGTGAACGAGATCCCCCAGAAAAATTACCTCCACGGAATTTACGAGCCGTACGTGCGAACGAGCATAATGACGCCGGAGGAGTACCAGAAATATATCATGGCGGAGTGTTTCCAAAGGAGAGGGATTTTTATTAAAAAGGAAAACATGGACAGTTATGTCATCTTCTATTTTGATATGCCATTGTCCGAAATATTGATTAATTTCTTGGACGAAATTAAATCCTGCACAAAGGGCTATGGATCCATGAGCTACGAAAAATATGTCACTTATAGGGAAAGCGATTTGCACAAAATAAGTATATATGTGAATAATAGGAGCATCGATTCTTTGTCCTTCCTGGCACACAAATTAAATTATCACGAGAAGGGGAAACGTATAGTCTTAAAATTGAAAGAAATGATAAAGCCTCATCAGTTCCTTGTCGTCATTCAGGCAGGTGTGGGGACCAGAATCTTCGCTTCGGAAAGGATCAACCCGCTGAGGAAAAATGTCACTGCCAAATGCTACGGGGGGGATATCACACGGCGAAGGAAGTTACTCGAGAAGCAAAGCGCAGGGAAGAAAAAGATGTTTAGCATCGGCAAGGTGAAGCTGCCGCCGAATATGTTCACCAAGCTCTTCAACTTGAAGGCCCAGTGAGAAGAAGGGGGCTGCACAGCGATGAGAACTGGAGATAGTTGACGAAACCACGCGGAAGCGTCGTAGCCCTTCCCCTCCCGCGTTGCGCCTGGATTTGCCATTTTCGTATTTGTCTTCTTCGTATTTGCCTTCTTCCGATTTGTTTTCTTCCGATTTGCCTTGTTCGAATTTGCTTTCTTCACTGATTAGATTCTCCTATTTGCACCTCTCCCCCCATTTTTTTCGCTTCACCCCTTTGTTATCCACTTTTTTTTTGTGCCAATATTGTCCTTCTAACAAATCGAATTCTCCTCTTCAAAAAAAAAGACAAAAATAGGAAGAGGCTACAGGAGAACATATACCCTGGGAATAAATTATTTATGTCATAGGCGTTTATCCTTTTTTTGGCGAACTGGGAGGGTTTTGAGCGTCCATTTGACTTCCCCTCATCGTCCGTCGCTGCATCGGAGGGGGACGCTACCGTGGCGGAAGTTTTGCTTCCCTCCATCTTAGCCGTTTCGCTAGTGGGGGAAGGGGCGGAAGAATCACCCAAGCCTTCCGCGCTGTTGTCTTTTCTCTCGACTGCTTCCCCCAAGCGAAGTAACTTCGCGGCACCCGTCTTTATGCGAACAAGCTTATTCTTCACCCTATTGGCCAACCTCTCCCGTGCGATGATGTCATTTTCGAAAATGTAGATCAGCGGCTCGGACTGCTCTGCATCCTTGGGGTCGTAACATATTTTTATATTTCTCTCTTTACTAACTTGGTCGAAAATATTTCGTGTGTATTCATTTGTCTGCACTTGTTCCCCCTGCTGGCTGCCGACGAGATGAACGCAAATCTTGTACTCCTTATGGTCTTCAATTTTTTTTTTATTTATATAAAAAAAATATTTTACGTTAAGGTGGAATGTCCCTTGGAAGATGTTCTTCGAATATTTTAGGGTGACGTTATCGATATAGCCATCGGTTTGTTTCCAGCTTTCTTTTTTTTTGTTTTGGTAAAACAGGTACGAACTGAGAGTCAGTCCATAAGAGCCGACTACGAGCGGTACGAATGTTTTAATCGCCTCCATTTGTTCTCCAGGGGGATGGCAGTACCCCTTCTTTTTGGGGGAGGTTTCATAAAAGAGGAGGACTCCTCTGTGCCTCTGCCCTTTCCCCGTGCAGGTACAAATGCATATGCCTTTTATGCATGCCCATGGCTCTCCTCCTGGTGATCGCTTTAACGTCACTTCTGATTACTCCGCTGCCTGGCAACATGGTCATCGTTGTCGTTTTTCCCCTTAGCAAGTTAGCTCAACGTTTGGATCAGCGAAGGTGTACGCGGGAGAAGCTTCCCCTTCTTTGCATATCGGAACATTCGAATATTGGGATGTGTTTCCCCCGTTGTTATATTCTCCTCTTTTTTTGATCAGCCGGGTACACCCCCGCTGGATTTTTTTTTTTTTTCTTTTGGGCCATCACTGCGAAGCAGTGCGACCTTATGAACAGGAATTTTAAAATTCATTTTCGCTTATTTACTTTGTCCTTTCTCTGTTTTTCGTGAGGAAGACAATCCACCGAAAAATGTGGATAAAAAAAAAAAAAATGCGCCCTTACGGGTACAAAGACTGTGAGACCCACTTTGCATCATCCGGTGAAGCACCACTAATGGGGGCACGGTATGTATCATTAAAAAGGAACCTTTTCTTTTCCTTCTTTCAACTCTATGTGGACAGCATGGTAACCCCTAATGAGCGCTGCGACATGACGCTTCATCCGCTATCTACGGGCAGTGGAGGGACACGCCATACGGGGAGCCATCACACACTCGAGGGGGGAAAAAACCAAACAAGGGAAGCAAACCGTCGAGAAAGAACATACCTTACGTAAGTTACAGCTTTCGCCAAAGTTGTGTTAATCTCTCTCTTTGCGTATGACTAAACAGAAAAAAGAGTAAACAATCCATAAAAATTGGGGAAAAAAAAAAAAAAAAATACGCAGCGAAACTCAACGAAGCGGGACAATGCCAAACGGAAGGCACACTTGCCTATGTCTCCATTTCGATAAGGTGAAGAAGCCCTGTTTTGTGTTAATCATCTGGGCATTACCCTATTTTGCACTACGTCCGTGGTGCGGTATTAAGTTTGCGCGTTGTTTTTTTTTCTTACTTTTCTTTTCTGCATCCTTTTTTCAGTGCTCCATTTTGGCTACCACACGGATGATACATTTAAATGGGGCCAAGCAGAGCAGCGCAGGGGCGCCATAACATAGCAACGGGAGGGGCGTTACAAAGGGATAACGTGATTACGTGACAACGTAGCAGAAACGCCGCAATGCGTAGGAAGATCCTTCGGGTCGGCACATGCACCCCGCGCACTCCCTTACGACACAGTCAACTGCAATATCTTCGTGTTCGCATTGGCAGTGGGGTCAAAGGGTCTATAATAAGAATAAACGATGAAAAAAGTTCCTGCCTTGTGTGCCTTCACCATGCTCTGTAACGTGGATCTGCCTCCAACGAATCCTCCCAAGCGTTCACTCTCATGAGGCTTCCCATACCCTCCTGAATTGGAAGAATGTTCACCTCCGTTGTTTAACTTGTTCTTTGGTATTGCTTTGGGCTGCGTGACGGAAATTTCGTTTGTGAAAAAGGACTTTGTAATTTTTTTTCTTGGGAATTCCTCTGGGTTTATTTGGGGCTTCTCTTTATGCACTCCTAACAAGGCCCACAGATAGCCATTTCCACCAATGGCTTCTAAATGCACACATAGTACTTTGTTTTTTTGTAAACTAAATTCGATCGTTCTTTCATTTGTCCCGTTTATTATTTCGCCTAATTTGAGGTAAGTATCACATGGCTCATCACCGTTTAGGGAGTAGGAGCGATCCTCTTCTACTGCTCCGATTAACACTTCTGAAATGTTTTGGGGCATGTATTCTTCCGGCATCTGCAAGGTAATTTCCTCCTCATGATTTATACCCCCCACTTTGTCGTCTTCCATTTTTGTGTTCGCTTCCGAGGCGGATTCCTCACGTAGGGATTTATCGATAAGGGAAAGATTGTTCTTTAACTTTTCGTAGTCGTCCCCTTCGAAATTGGTACTGAAATTGAGTTTTGACTCCTTTGCGGGGCTTTCCTTCCCACTAGCGGAGGTGCTACTGCTATCTGTAATGATCCCTTCGCCGGTACCCTCCTCAACGCTCTCGCTAGTATCCTTTAGCTTCTTTCTTATCAACAAAACGGAGTCTTCTGAGCTTCCAACCGCAGCTGAATTATTCACATAACTCGACGGGATAACCGTAAAGTTGCACGGCGTCGTGGCTTCGAAAATCTCCTTGGCGACGCTGTACCAGGTATTCTTGTTGATGATATCGAAGGAGTACGTGTTTTGGTCTGCGGGGAGTGGCCGGTGAAGCGATTGATGAAGCGATTTGATGTGCAATGGAGAACATACAGGGGACTCAACGGGGTTTCCTAATTGCAACTACTTCCTGCTACACAGTGAGACAGACGCTCGACGCCCCCACACGTGCTTCACAATGGTGAATCGCAAAAGGGGTGCGGCTTAGCGCAGGACTACTCAAAAAAACAAATTTTACGTAAATTAAAAAAAAAAAAAGAAAGAAAAAAACATTTTTGTCATCAAAAGGGTGTCTCCCCCTTTTGGAACCACCCTTTTGGGGGTGCCCTCCAATAAGCTGTGGTAAAATGGATATACATTTTTTTCTTTTTCTCAGCTAAGGAAGCAGATTGTACCAGGGTTATTCAGCATAAGGGGGACATGCATTGTGCGTAGATGCGTGTGGGGGGACTAAGGGTGTACACAGCCCGAGGGAGTTTCCCCAAAGAGCTGCAGCTTGAGAAATACATATGCAACGCTGTGTATGCGTCCAGATAAAGAAGTATAAATACCATGGGTAAACCGAAGAAGAGGCAAAGGCAGCGCGTGGATATATACGTTCGGTGATGTATAGGCATATAGGTGCGATGTGCTCACGTGAATATGCCTACAATGCATATCCTATACTTGCCCGCGATGGGACAGTCTTCTTCAGTGAACTGTGCGTTTGAAAAGTCACTCTGGCAATCCTACCTGAACAGAATGACACGTGGGCAACGGAGGAACATACGATGAGGCAAAAGAGGCTGGAAAGTTTCATGCTGCGGAACTGGGGGTGTTTTATTTATAATTGTTTTTAATTCGCAGGGGGGGAGGGCCTTGCTGCGGAACTCGAGTGAATGCCCAATCAGGGGAACGTAAAATAAGGCGTCAGGAAAAAAAAAATCAAATAAAATAAGAAGAAAATAAGGCAAATAAATCAAATAAACAAATAAGAATAAATAAAAATAAATAAATATAAATAGATATTTGTACAAATTCATAAACGCGTGAACGTTCGTTGTGAAGGGGAGAGGCTTCGGCTTGAATGACTCTGCAAATTTTTTCTCTTTCCCCTTTTATTTCTCACGGTTTTTGTATTGCGTTCTTTTTTTTTTATTTTTTCTTTTTTTTTTTGGTGATTTAGGGGAAGGGATTAAAACATAGTCCACGTGGGGAAAGTCGTAACAGAAGAAAAAAAAGAACGTGTTACAAAAGGGATGCCTTGCGTAAAATTAATCGCAATGATAAATAATGTATATAAAGAAATGCACAGAACATATTTTATTTATATGTTCGTTCATCCATAAACTTTGCATGTGAAAATATATGCGACTTTTTCTTTTTTTCCTTTTTTTTCTTTTCAAATTGCTTGCATGCATTTAAGGGAACTTAAATGGTGAAGAAAAAACTGCCGGTAGCCTGCCTTCTTAAAAAGCGCGCAACAACTCCTCGTGCATAGAAGTCGAAACTGGCCGGCGCAGTGGAAAGAAAATAAGTGTCGTCCGCAAAGTGCACATTCGTACAGACGTGGGCTTATAAAGGAAAGCGGCCTCAACATGCACATAAATATGATACGGCATGTAAAATTATATCCTTATAGTCATGTGCATGAGCCTATTGTACATATATATAATCATACATACAGCAGCGATGGGATGTTTGCAGCTAAGAAAAGGCAGACCTCAACCCATAGGGACAGTCTGATTCGACGTAAATATGCATGCATTAAAAAAAAAAAGAATTTTAAATGACCCATGGCAGGACACAACCTTTTTGGTTTTTTTTTCCTCGCCAGAAAGGAAAAAAATCCAGTGCCATGCTTCAGCTGGGAATGGGTGAACATTTTTTTAAACTATAAAGAAAAATGGTGTCATTTTATAATGCCTCATTTTGTGCCACTTGTTCAATGGAACGAGTTTAATCCATGTGGGGGTAGATGAGTTCTTCACCACTGTGAGTCTATGTGACTCTATGTTGTCACGCTTGGGGGAGCGTCCCTCTCTCCACGATCGGAAAAATAAGCAAATATACAATCCGATAAACAGTCGGGTAATCACAATCCATAGCGCCCATTTCGCGAAATGGAACCTCCCCACACGCCCCACATTCCTTTGTACTTCCGTCTTCTACACGTTTCTCCCCAGCGTCTATGTGTGTATATGCATTTCCAGCACACCCCGACCTTTCGGCGGAAAATTAAGTGGTCCAAAAATTAGTCCATGCGTTAGGCGAAGCCCCTAAAGGTGTCAACTCGCGGCTGGGTTGCGTATGGGAAGGGAGTCTCACCCAAATCGAGACATCGAAAAGGGAAACAAAAAAGGGCATCAAAAAAGGGCAATAAAAAGGGGCATCAGGAAGACCATCAGGAAGGCCATCAAAAAGGGCAATAAAAAAGTCCTATAAAATGCAGTAATTTTTTTTAAATTGGCGCAACGGCCGTCAGGCGGTGTACCCCCGCCCAAATATCAACCTCCGTATGTTGATGCTCCCCAACATGTCCAGTATATAATTTTTGTATTTTTGGTCGGCTTCCCCGTTTACGTGTGCCATGGGGGGTTTGGCAATCTCCTCATCGCTATTCGGTTGGGCCCCCTCCGCCAAATCATGGAGTGGTTTACCCCGCGACGTGCTCAAGACGTTCGCGCCCTTCTGACGACGTTGTCCGTTTGGTGAGTCTCCATCTGCATTCGCACGAATCATGTGGTTCTCTTTGTCTCTGCTAGTTGAGGCCCAATCTTTGCAACTGAATGATGGAGACACCTGTGCTTCTTCTTTTCCCTTCACAAAGGTGGATGGGATGTGGATGATTTTCAAATAATAAAAAAGGGACATTGTCGCAATGACGAAATTGTAGAACAATTCTTGGAAGGATTCGCAGTGGAGGGTGGTCACATCCGGCGCAGGTGTTCTGCCCCGACGGGGACTGCCTTGAAGGGTACTACTCCGGTGACGATTGCTTCTGCTGCTGCGGATGGTAGCGCCGCCGTCCCCACCATCCCCACCCTCTCCGATCCAGCTCAGCTTCACATTCACATACTCAACAAACATGCTGCACACATTGAGATGTCTCGCGTTCCACTTCTGCACAATGTGAAACATAATCACCATGTCTTCCATTTGGCTCCCGTTTTGCAACACATCGCAGGGGAGGAGGATGTTCCCTTCCCCTTTTCTCTTGGCTAGCTGGTCTCCCAAATCTTGGGGGTCCCCACCTCGGTCACTTTTTTCAAGTACGCAATTGTTTGCCTCATTATAGGGGCTGAACTTTGACCATCCAGTGCAGCTGGGGTTGTTCAGATCTTTTAATTCTAACTTGTTGTGGTAAAGAACGTGCAGAATCTTCATTCGCAAATTTCTGTTTAGTAAATCCTGTGCGTCAGGGGAATGGTCGTGTGCGATACATGTGTTTACCAAGGGGAGGAGAAATACACATGGCATCAGGAGGAAGTAGAAAAATTCGCCAAAAAAGATGAAGACAAATTCGAGCAGAGTCAGGTCCATATCCGACTCGCTCATTTTGCTCAATAGGTTGGCCACTTTATTATTTTCAAGCTCGCTCTGGGAGAAGCTATCCAGATGGATCTTCTTCGTTCCAAAGCAATCGCTAACGTTCTGTGTGTTACCATTTTGGCTTCCATCCCCTACCGTGGTGATGCCCCTGTGTTGGTGGCCTTTCTCTCCCATTTCATACGTCCCGTCACACCTCAGGGGAGTCCCCATTTTCTTTACTTCTCCACAATACGTGCTGATTGGCGAGTAGGAATTATTTTCCCCCAATGGTGACCCCCTGTCTGGATTGGAATTGCCCCTTCGGTATTCGTGTGGGGTGATTTTATCTTGGCATTTTTTTTTCTTCAAATTGATAAAAAAATCGAAGAAGACGATTAAAACGTTCATTTTTTTTACGAACATTTCTAAATTCAATCCGGAGAAGTCCTTCTCCGTTATGTACTCTTCCAATTTAATAACATACTTGACGCTTTCCAAAAAGGACGAAATATCATTTAGGATTTTTTTTAACACATTAATTTTTCCCATGTACAGATTTAATAAAATATCACAAATGGTATTTAGCATTTGTTTAAATTCTTTTTCAATTTCGTCATTTGCCTTGGTGAGATCATTCACGTTGTAAATGAAAAATTTGTTCTCGTACTTTTTAAATAAGTCTTTCAGAATGTGGACTCTTTTTCTCATGGAGGAGTACGCGGGGATGTTTTTTAAAATCGTGTTGATGATGGAAAGACACATGTTGTATTTTTTTTTTTTATACAAAAGTGCGATCATTCTTTTGCTGATCGATTTTGCAAGGCATTTGTGCAGGTAGAGGAGGGCCACTTGGGGGTCGACCTGTCCATTTCGGTTTCTCCCCAGGTTGTCTCTTTGGCCGCCTCTCCCCAGGGGCGCCGTTTTTTTACTCCCTTTCCCTTTTCCATTCTGAATTTTCCCTTCCATCCGCGCCAACACACTTTCGTACTGCTGAATTTTCCAGTACTCATTATTTTTCCACTCCTTCTTTAGCACCTCAAGGCCGTCGAAGTTGTGCTCCCCTTTCATATGCTCCGTGAGGTTATTTACGACATACACTTTTACGACGTTACAGTCGTCCATGAAATCTCGGTTCACTATTCTGTTCATGGGGGACAGACATTCGGCCAAGTTATTACGCGAAACGTAATTTTGAAAGTAACAGCTTCGGAAATGGTCGCTCGATTTGAGTGTCCTCCTTATGGAATCCCTCTGCATCAGTTGGATTATCTCGTGCATGGAAATTTTTTCATCCTTTGGATGGTCTCGATGATAGGAGCTTTCATTAACCCCTCTGTTTGGAAAATCACTTTTGCCCTTTGGATGCTTCCACATAGGGGACACGCCATTCTGCACAGTGCCTTCCTTTTCTGCACTTCCTCCCATGGTACGCCCCCCCCCATTGGTTTCCTCTCCTTGGTAGTTCCCTCCCCGATCACTTTTCGAAAAATTGAGATGCCTTATGCAGTTGTAGAAGAAGTCATTTTTTATTTTCCTCTTTTTGGAAAGTTTTTTGCTGGTCGGAAGAGGCTTATCTCGGATGTGGTTATTCTTCTCCTCTGTTAGCAGCTCTCTCTTGTTTTTCCCCTTCCCTGTGGTTGGTTTCTCTTCGATCTGCCTCTTCTTCATGGGAGGGGGACCATTCTGCTCATTTGGTAGGGTTTTTTGCCCCTCGGCCGGGTCTTCACAGATGGGGATAATCGGCCCAGTATGGCTCTTCTCCCCAACATTTGGGCTTCCCTCCCCCCCCGCGCACACCTCACTCATGAGGTAGATGGTATGGTGCTTGCCCTTCCACTTCAAATGGTTAAGGTGCGCCTCATAAAAATTACTCGCGTAGAGAAGCAAGACAAACTTCTGCTGAAGGTCCCCCACGTGAAGTTGATTCAAATAGTTGGATATCTCTTCCTTCAAGGTGCTAAACTTTTTGGTGTATTTTTCTCCGCCCTCTGGACAGGGATCGTGTAGGTTGTTTCTCCCTTTTCGAAGTTTGGAAAAATAAATCAGAGGGGCATTAAGAAAAGACAGAATTTTTTTGTCAAAGAAATCTCGTACAAACATGTAAAAGAAATATTTTACTTGCATAAAACTCATGTCATGATTTAAGAAGTAAAGATGATCGATAATTGGATAATATTCTTTTAGCTTAAATAGGACGTTATTAAAAAATGGATGGAACATGATATTCTCTATCAAGTGGTAATAATTTAAGTACAAATTGCAGATATTTACGTGGACATTTTTTTTTACGAAATAATCCAAGTTGCTTAATGCGGAGAGTACACAATTATTTGTAATGATAACACTTATGTCTATTGAATTGATTTCCTTCAAATGTAGAAGGTAAAGGAGGAGGCCACTAAAAGTGGAAGACTTCAATTTGATATAATTTTTTAAAAATATGATCAGTACTGTTTTCTTCTTTTTCACCATTTTTAGAAATAATTCCTTCATGTTATTTTTGTCAATCTTCATGAAACATTTGCGGTTTATTTTTTTTATAATCCTTATGATTATGCTTTCCACGCTGTCATGTGTGTAGAGGTTGACGATGCAAGACGTGACATGCCTCTGCTTCCGCAGCAGCGTGTACGTCAGCACTCGGTTGTCAATCGTTTTGTATGTGAACGTGTTTGTGTTGTCTGGCGGGGAGGTAGCCGCTTCGTCCGCATCTACGGGTGCCTCTTTTTCGGCTTCATCCCCCACATGGGCGCCCTTTTCGCGATCTCTTCGCCCATCCGCCGCCGCCCTTCCGCGATCTCTTCGCCCATTCGGTGCCACCCCTTCCACGCACCCATTCACCTCCTTCAGCTTCTGAGAGAGCGCCCGGTACTGTAGCAGATTCACGAAGGGGCAAGTCTGCGTCCTCACGATGAGCAGGGACACCTTATCATCCCGGAGGCACAAATTTTTGTTCAGAAAGTTTATTTCCCTATCGACCATCTCGTTAACGTAGTTGTAGACAAAGCAGTTCATGTAGTTGTTCATAACTCTCCACGTCTCGTTGAATGCCTTGCTCCGAAGTAGCATGGAGCAGACTTCATCATCATTGGTGGGGCCTCCCTGGCGTGTGTGGCAGTTTTCCAACGTTCCGCACATCTCCTGTGTTGCCTCCCCCCTCCTGTCAGAAGAGCCATTCGCGCGCCCCTTCTGGCCTCCTCTGTTCTCCCTCAACCGTTTTATCTGCTTATTTTCGCTGATACGCTCCAAGTCATTCTTTAACTTTATAATTGGAAAACTTAGGGACGTCAAACATATGTTAAAATTAGGGACTCTTATTTTGATCCCCCCAGCGGAACCGTCCTCCTTTCCTTTATGCTTGTTCCTGTTCAGGCTGCTTATCTTTCTTTTGCTTAACCAGCAGGAGGAGGTCACTCGGACGGTTTCCTTCTCTTCGTTCGGGTTCTCTGCCATTTTGTGTGAATCCAGCAGGGGGAAGTACAAATGTGCAAAAGGCTTCCAACCTAGGGAAGAGGAGACCTCCTCTCTTTGCGGCGCGCTCCCGTCGGGGTAGTCACTAGTCTGCGTTACTACCCAGGCAGGGATTCCCTCGAATGGTTAGCAGAATATAGCCGGATCGAGCTGATATAAATGGCACATGCACAGCCAAGTTAAGATTAAAAGAAGCGACATAGCAACCGTTGTAATACCACCATGGGGTGGTGTCAATAAAGGGGTCGAATGGGCATACAGAAACAGCCAAGGGGGACATATTTCCAAATTGGGCAGATAAGCAGTTTACCCATTTTTCAAGCCCCCCATCCTTCCTCGAGGTCACATTAGATGAGGGGATCTTTTGTGTATATTTCCTCAGGGGTATCCTCCCCCATGTGTGCTTAAAAAGTTACGGTGGTTAAATGCCCTGTTTTGTGCTATTAGGTCTCTTTATGGTTACACAATTCTGTTGTCCTCTGCGGTTTAGCAGGTACATATCATGTATACATTCCATTCAAGGGAAGGAAGAAAAAAAAAAAAAAAATCGAAAGGGTTCCTTTTTCTTTTTTTTTTTACGCCCTTTCTGTGAGCACCTGTGTGAGGTTCCATCTTCGCGCATGCGACTTAACCTGTGCACATTTTCCCCGTTCGAGGGTGTCGCGCGCGTTACCGATTCGAAGGGAAGGGGGGGTTCTCATTTTCGCCATTTCGCCCTTATAATGCAATTCGCCTTTATCAAACGGTTAACCTTTATCGTACGGTTCACCTTTTTCGTGCGTTTCCTTTTCTCCCCTCCCGATATGCATGCGGTGCCTTCTCTGATTCCCCTCAAGGGAGAACGCAACTCAGGGAGGGATCCAAACCTGGAGGAGTTCCCTCCCCGCGTAGGTTTTTATATGCCTGTGTTCCCCGTAGGGGCCAAATAGGAAGAGGCAAACGGGAGAGGCGGTTACAAGTCGTATGGGCCAACAGGTCGGAAGGGCCAACAAGTCCGATAGGAAAACATGCCAGATTGGTCAAGACAAAAAAAAGCGCTCAAAGGAGCCCCCAAACGAAAGGACCACCAAAACGTTTCGCACAAAAAACTATTTTGAGTAGGCCCAACGTGGGAAATACAAAAGAAAAAAATAATCTGCAGCGACGGTTGGTTAACGCCACTGCGATGATGACACATCTGCTGGGCAGCAGTTTAACCATGGGGAGTACGTTCCCCACAGACACGCACACGTACACACGCAGGCTTCTCTTTTTCCCCTGTTCCTTTTTCTTTTCCCACCTGCGGGAAGACAAACTGCGCCCTTTTCCTTTAGGGTGTCTCCTTGGAGAGTACAATTTCTCGTTTCTCATTAGATGGAAGAGACATCCCCCTGCTCTGCTCACTGTAGAATCGGTCAAGTTGCTTCGTCACGGAGTCAAACATATCATAATGGTAATTGGCGTAGCTACAAAGGAAGGTGATTTTCTTGTTCACATATTTAAAATGTTTTTCTTCCTGTAAAAGTGCAGCCAGTTTTTTAACGCCACTGAGACTGTTACTACTAGTAGTAGCTATTTTCTCCTTTCTACAATTCATCTTCTTGATTTGCTTTTTAAAAAACTTCTTCGTCTCATACAGACACCTAAGTAACAGATCCTTTAGCTTTAAGATAATGGTAACATCCGTCACGACATTGTACAGGATACCTTTCTCTCGAGCGATCTCATCATTTTCGAGGATCCTCTCAAATAAATTATTCACTGTGCTGTATACGTTGCTTTCGGGCAGATTAAACCTGTTCAGAGAGTTAGCCATGTAAAGAAAACAGTAACATACTTCTTTACCGTCAAGGCTTTCATTAAAAATTCGTAGCAAATAGCAGTAGGAGTAGACAATTTCGATTACCATAAACTTCACTTCCTCACTCACACGTTTATTGCAGCATATGTGTTGAGGTGTGGGGACCTTCTTGATTACACAGTTTAGCCACCAGGGTTGGAATTTTGCCAAATATGCATTCATGTCGTTACTCTTTAGGAATGAGAAGAACTGCTTCTGCTCCGTTTGCGTGAGGTGATCCAACTTGAGCTGGTCCGTCTTGGCCAGCTCCGTCAGCACCTTGTACCGTTTGTTGCTAATGCACCATTTTTTCAGGTGCCCTTCCTGATGAGCGGCGAGAGGAGTGTTTAGCGGCGTTTCGTTCGGTTCTACCTCCCCCTCCTGATGAGCGGCTTCCTTTCCTTCCTCATAAGCGACTTCCTCTTCTTCCTCATCAGCGGCTCCCTCCTCTTCCTCATCAGTAATTCCTGCTTCCTCCCCATCCTGCTTGTCTTCCTCTTCTGCGTCCCCCCAGCCTTGGTCGTAAAACTTCTTCAGCTTGAATTTGAACTCTCGTTTCTCCAAATCGGTCAGCTGATTATTTTTTATATTCTCTTTCACTTGGTTCTCCAGAAAATTGTGCACGCACTCGTCATTGTGCTTTTTGTAGCATTCGAGACTGCAATACACGATTTCGCAGGAGGGACACACATACTGATACAGCTTCTGTTTGCACACCTGACACGTCTTCCTCATTTTATCACGCCGATTTGGTGAAGTACGCCCCTTTTTTTGGGTCACTTATTTGGCTGTTAATCGGTTTCGCATGCGCGGTTAGGCATACACAGTTTAACATTCACGGTTTAGCACGGGGGCGCTGCCACACTGCTGCTCTTAAAATGGAGGCGGGTGCAGAGACGCGCGGTCATACCTGCCTGAACGTATGTACTACCCTTTTGTTCCTATCGTCCATTCACGCATACCGCCTGTGCATTCGTCCTCTTCGTGATGGTTCCTCCGGCGCAGCCTCTACGCAAATTGTTGCCAATCACAGGAGCTGCAAGCCAAAATGCGAAAAATGTCACCCACTTTGCTATTCCACGCGGCGTACTGCAGACGTTATCCAGGATTTCCCCTTCATTTATGTCGTTTTGGCAACTTTAGGGGGGTTGATCAGAAGAGGTCAAATAGAATGCATAGCTTCATGTATAGTCTTCTCCCCGTAGGGGGTCCGTGTCAGTACAACTAGGCAGCACCTGGTTTGGGGGGAGGGGACCTTCCCCATACAAGTGCTCATTTTACAAATTTGTAAAGATGCGGATGGGAGGAAAAACATCCACCTCTCTATGCTGTGCATACGGAGAGGAACGAAGAATTGGTTTTCTCCTTGTTACTCTTCTTTTCCTGCCCAAGGGACCCACGGAAGTTCCGCGTTTAGCAGTTTAACATTTGAAGTGCCCATCGAAAAGAAACACGTTCATGGGGTGTCATACCAAATGGCGGAACATAAAAATATATATATATATATTCAAATTGGTATGTCACTGGAAAGCAAATCTCTGGAAAAAAAAAGGCTAACATTTTAGCTAACCCGCAAAGGTTAACAACAAACTTTTTAACCAAACGACGTTGCATTTTTAAAAAAAAAAAAAAAAAAAAAAAAAAAAACAAAAATTCTATCCTCTCGTGCGATTTGGTATTCCATTTTTGTAAAAGGAAAATCGCCAAGCTGTGCGAATTTGCCCTTGCGGTTTTACGCCTTAAAAAGGGGCCAAAAAAGGGGCAAGGTATATGAACGATCAGGCGGGGGCACAGGACGCCACAAAATTGTTCTTCCCTTCCGCAGAGCGCTGCAAATGGGTAGTCCATGCGGAGAGAATTAGATTTGCACGACACCATGGGTGTCAACTGAGAGGAACTGTCTCCGCGGAAAGGCTACAAAGTGGCACACGTTAAGAATGGAGCAGGGGGGAAGAGTTGTATCTTTTGTGAATGCTCCATATGGAGAGAGTCTGTCCTTTGTCGGGCACCAGTTCTCCATGGCGTGATGTTCTCTGAATATTCGTTCTTCCCATGCTGCCATTATTCCATTCACATTTGCAGCGCCGTTCACACTGGTCAAGCAAAGCAGTTCATAATAACGTCGTACGTAGTGCGCGCTCCTGAGGAGTCCCCTTTTTTCCGTTTCCCCCCCTGGGAAGAGAACCCCCCCCGGATGATCTTCAGTATCCTGCCCAGCGACATAGACAAGGCGGTGATCACAAACGTAACAACCATCGCACTTACATTCTGAGCATTAAAAACAAATTTAGGAGAGTATGAAAAAAACATCATTGGTTCGATCTGAAATATGCTCGTATTCTTCCACACCGTTAGAGAAAACACATTGTAAAAGTATGTACAGCAAGATACAATTAAATAAGATGACGTGAAGGAAAATACAAAATTCTGTGCCTTCTTTGCTGATACAAGGTTACTTATCATTAGTAAAAATATCATGTATCCGATGATTAAAAGAAAAAGGAGACAAACCATCTTTAGCAGAACTTCATTTGGTACATAGCTGGACAGAATGATTAACACTCGGGGGGTACATACAGCATGGTATAAAATATTTCCAATGATTATAGATTGTGCAAATACGATTAGAATCCATCCTATGGGTTGTTTTTTAATGCTCGATTTTTTTAAAAAGTGTATCTTTTCGCAAGGGTTCATCGATACGGAGTAGAAATAAAATGTCATGATGAGACAGACGGTTGAAGATAACATGGCTGGGAAATAAGTTAACAAATTTTTTAATACTAAGAAGAAGAAAAATAATGTCGATACTTTCGCTATGTATTTCTTCGCAACGTTCTTCCCCCGCATGTATCCCTCACAGATTATTTTAATACAAAAACAGTACATAAGGGAGATTGCGATGATTATGTACCAATCTGTGTAAATCTCCGGGGGGTATGTTCCTCTGTATATTAGATCCTCTTGGTGAGTCCTACCCCCTTGGTTGAAATAAAAATTGATCTCTCGAACCGCATCTGCAATGTTGTTTATGTGGTAGGGCATGGGCATACCTTTCATGAGATCTTCCGTCTGTTCTTGCCTTTTAAAGAAGTCTTCTCTCGATATACGGCTCCACGGGTTTGTTCCCCCTCCATAGGGAGAGGCGATCCCTGTTGTGGAAATGTCCTCCCATTCTCTTCCACCACGGCTACCCCTCTCGCCGATAGCTTGTATCCCCTTTAAGGCCGATAACGCCAAGTCCAAATCGATTCGGGGAGATGGATCAAACAGGTAGGCAGCATTTATCTTTAATTCGCTTATCTTCACATGATTGTCCGTAAACAAATTGGACAAGTTGACTCCGAAGCTGAAGTTCCCATTGAAGAGCCCCTCCTCCAGGTTCAGCACTGAGCTTATCTTAGCAAGCAGAAGGGTGACACAGGTCAGAACGACCATTTGGGCCCAACTCAATCTAGCCATTTGATCCGTCACGTTGTGGAAAAGTTGTACCTCCGAAGAAGGAAATATTTTTTTTAAAAAATTGTGAATTGTGAGTAAAGAGGTCAAGCGGACAATGGACAAAAGACAAATGTGCAATTTAGCAAAACATACAAAAGAGGGGAACATTTTCAAAATGTTCATTGCGTAAATTAACGGAAAAATGGGGAAAAAAAAAAATCCACACAGTGCACCTATGACACATGCTGAATTTTTTTTTCTTTTACGCATTGCACATTTCCTGAGGAGGGGGCTCAAAATTGTAAAACAGAGAAATCGCAGCCGTGGAATTAGACCCTCTTTGCAGTGCTCTACTGATCCATACGTTTATGTACACATATGTGGATTCTTTAGTTACCCATTTTGAAGGGGGAAACAAGAAAAAAAAAATCACGTTGTCGTGCTCCCGAATAGACAACTTTTTCCTGCCTGATTTTTCCCGCCCTTTGTTCCCTTCCCCTGTACAGGTGGACTCTGTACACTTCCAGATAAACGGGAAATAAAAAACATGGCCCTACTAATTCAAGACGATAAGACTGTAGCGGTTATTTCTCGTCCATTCCGTAAATGACTTTTTTTTTCCCACCTTCTTAAGGGAGCATCTCGTCAGAGTTACCGCTTCATTTGAGGTGGGATATCCTTGCGCAGCTTCTCCAGCTGGCACGAAATAACTTTCCATGCATTTCTCACTTAAACTGATATTAAACATACCACATGATTGGGATCCTTTCATGTGTGGCGAATGAAAGGGGTAGACAAATGCCTTCGCGAATCAAGGTAGTGAAGACTTCAGAACGGAGTGCAATTATTTACCTGCACCTCACCACGCCGTCTCAGCCAATTCAAAGATGGACAGACAACGCTTCACATGGCATCGTACGCCATGTTATCACTGTCCAATTATGATACGAGGTGGATGTGTCATTTCTTAGGGCGCAGAGATCATTAATGATCATTAAAAAAAGTAAGTTTTAGGGATGATGCTCAAAGGGGGCAATTAAAATGGGCCACATAACGGTGAATAGAGGTGGACTACATAGCGGTATATTAACTTCCACCACACAGCGATATATTAACTTGTTCGCCGAAAGGTGCAACGAACGTGGGAACGGATAAACTGCCGCAGGCAAAAAAAATTAAAAAAGTATGCCCCCCCCAAATTGCAGCGGCACACGTGGGGGGGGGAAAATA